TGTGACTTTGCCGTGTAGTCTGTGTGTATGCCCTCTGCCCTCACGAGACACTCCACACCGCCCTTTTCCTCATGCTTCCCTCTGCTTAGGCCACAGCGCAGCCCGCCGGTTGGGGTGGGGGGGTCTAACTTGTGATCTGGTATCAGCTTCTGCCTCAAATTGACTTCTTTCCCTTCCTCTTCACTCTGCCGCCTGCACCTGCAGATTCCACAATATTTACTGTTGTTTCCGGCCATCCACTTACCTGCAGGTCCTGAGTTTCCCCCCCGAGACCACAATCAGGTCAGTGCCCCAGGCCCCGCTCCCCAGACTTCACAGCCTCGCATCCACATCCTACACGTGGTCCCGGCTCTGGGAGTTTTGCCGTAACTAGTGTTCTCCACTCCTAGTAGAACATGTTGAGTTAGAAGGATTTACTCTGCCCCAAATAAAAATGCCTGATGCTAATTATTTTACCCAGAAAGATGTAGTGTTCTAGGCTTTTCAGCCTGGTGTTGAAGGCTTTCAGTCTAAAATGCAGATCTCTTTCTGGGCTACCATCTTGGTTCAAGCCTGGGAAATAATGGACGGTGAGAGGTCAGGATTCAGAATGAGCCGTGAGGCTTCTGGGAGAGTACAGTACCCTCTCCCGTCCCCATCCCGGTGCCTGCCCAGTCGTTCCTAACACAGCCCGCTTTCAGAATGCTGTCGGCTATTCCTTGACTCCGGTCTCTCTCTCTCTAGTGCTCCGCTGCCCCACATCTTCCTGGCTGAACTTCTGCAGGGGGGCCGGGCCCCCTTCCAGGCCAGTGCCTCTTGCCATATTGTTTCTGTCTTCAGCCTTCAGCTCCTGTGGGTGTGTGCTCACTGTACCAGTCTCTGCCCCCAGGTATGGGAGGGGACAGGCTGAGTGCGGTGCAGGGTGCCAGGTGGGTGTGAGGGGACTCAGCATTTTTCCAACCCCCTCTCTCCACCCCAGGGAAGGTGTACTCGTCAGGGCTCCACCTGTCCCACCCAGACCTCTGTAAGCCAGGCCAGCATCAGGTGAGAGCACAAGGTGGGCACTCGTTGCGCCACGTATTCCCCTGTCACGTGACTTGCTCTGTCTGCCGGCCCATTGTTGGCCTAACTCCTGGCTTGGCGAATGGCTTCGGAAGTCGTTGAGGGTGAATGGGTTAAAGTTACATGAGTTACGGCGGGAAGTGGTGAGGAGGGAGGCACGTTGGGGCCACCCGGCCACGTGGGGTCTGCCGTGGGAGTTTCTGTTTCTCCGTGGCCCCTCCTTCCCCCAGGCTCCTGGTGGAGGATGGGACTGCCGAAGCCGTGGTGACCTGTAGGAATCACCATGTGGCAGCAGCACTAGGGCTGTGTCCCAGTGAGTGGACCTCCCTCCTAGAGTCTGTCCGAGGGCCGGGGAAAGTGGCCTTGCAATTTACAGGTCCTGGAGCCCAGCCTGAGGTGAGACGTGGCTGGGAGGTGGGGGCTCGAAACCCAGATTCCCTAGGGTTTGGTAGAGGGTTTAAGAATCTGAGTTCTGAAGAAAAAAGAGAAAAAGGAATTCTGATTAATCCTCAGTTTCCCCTTCTAGTCTTCAGCCAAGGTGGATGAGCCCTTGACCTTCTTTCTCCGGACACTGTGTACCAGCTTTTCTGTCCTCCGCCCTGTTGTGCTTTCTTTTGAGCTTGAGAGGAAACCCTCCATGGTCACCCCGTTAGGTACAGGAGAGGGAGGGGGTACATGGGCAGTGGGGTCCTGGAAGGAGGAGGGACGCGTGATCGATCCATGGGAGGGTGCTGGGAGTTGGGGAGGAGAGTGGTGGGTGGGGGCGACAAACCACAAGCCTAGGACAGCTGGTTTTCTCTCCTCCGATCTCAGAGCCTCCTCGGCTACAGCGGTTCCAGTGCGGGGAGCTGACTCTTCTGACTCGTGTGAATCCCAAGATCCGACTGTCCTGCCTTTCTATCCAGGAGCCCAAGCACCCCAGCTCCCTGGGAGCCTTTTCTTTGTCCTGCTGACCTAGAGGGCAGCGGGGGCCTGCTGGAAGCCTTGAGGCCCCAGGCCCATCATCTCCTCCCCCCTCATTGTACCCTTACCTGTTCTGTGATGGCACCAGGACCCCAGATCCCCGAATTCACAAACTGCTACCCTTCTGTGACGTGTCCTTCCCGTTCTGGTGCCAGCCTGCCTGGAAGTTGTTGAAATGGGCAGATGACAGAGCTGCTGATATTCCCTCTCTGGTTGGGGTCAAGGCATTGGCCTCAAGAGGGGCCCTGCGTGCCTGGGTTCTGCCTTTGGGGGGTATTTGTGGCAGGCCCCTTGGGCCGCAATAAAGCTCTGGTGGCGTATCTCGCTTGTGCTTCTCTCCGGGTCCTAGGCGTCCTGACCTCCTGGCGGCCAGCCCATCACTTCGCTCTTGTTTGTTGCTAGAGCCAAATTCGGTTTGGAGTCGGGCAGTGATACCAAGAGTCAGGCCTTGAAGGGAGGAAATTGGGGAGTGGAGGGCGGGGTAGACAGCATGGCCAGATGGTGTCAGCAAGGCTGGGCCCCGGGGAAGCCCAGCGTGCCAGCCTGGGGTGTCGGGAAGAAGAACCGGACGGGTATGGGGGAGGGGAGCACCAAGCCCTGGGAGGGGCCTGGGCAGAAGCCTGGGCGCATGTGCGGGGGACCCCGAGTCAGTGCCGTGGCCTTCTCCCGGGCCGGGCCCGAGGCAGACCCGGCAGAAATTCGGGAATCCGAACCCACAGAATCAGGAGTTGCAGGAGTATTTGTGGGCGATGATGCGTCTGGCCCGTGTTCTATTTCCTCCCTGGGAGCTGCTCGCTAGCTGGCGAGCTACAGCCGAGTCACAGCTCTTAGAGGCGCTCAGAGGGCATTCCTTCCTGGCCAGTAGGGGTCCGTTCTAGTTTGTAGTCGGGAGGCCTTTGGGTCGCGCCTCGGCGGCCGTCAAAATGGTCTTGCCTCTACCGCTACGTATGTGGACATGTGAGGGAGGCGGCTCTCGCGGCTGGCCGGTTAGCTCAGTTGGTTAGAGCGTGGTGCTAATAACGCCAAGGTCGCGGGTTCGATCCCCGTACGGGCCACGGCCGGCTTGTTTTGTTCTCTCTTGTTCTGTTTTGTCTTAGCGCGCGCCTGCTGTTTACAGCCCAGGACTTCCTGCGCGGAGCCATTTGACTTTTGATCACAGACGACATCAGACCCACCGCTTCTCAAAACCTAAACTGCTAGCACACTCCATGGCTTGGGAGGGGGGTCCCTGGGCTGGGGCGGAGGGAAGCGTCCCCGGGAACGCGTTGTTGGAGGCGGGGGGAGACAGGGCCAGCTCCGGGCCGAGGAGCCCAGACGGGCGGGGCGGGGCGGCCCCGAGTCTCCCCCGAGTCTCCCCGGTGCTGCCGGCACCCGCCGCTCTCCTGGCCCTGGGACCCCGGGACCCCGGGTAATTTAGGGGGTGGAGTGTCTGCAGGGCACGAGAACTAAGAAAGGCTAAGGACGAAGCGCCCCAACTCGCCGGGGTAGTCGTGGCCGAGTGGTTAAGGCGATGGACTAGAAATCCATTGGGGTCTCCCCGCGCAGGTTCGAATCCTGCCGACTACGCGTGCTTTTTCTTCTCCGACGACCCGGCCGCGTACCTCCTGTCCAAGGTCGGGGACTGATCCCGCAGAAAGCCCGGGTCTCAGGAATCCTGGCCCGCCCTGGGGCTTCCCCAACCCAGCACTTCTGTCTTTGGTTTATTCCTTTAGACAATGTGGGGACCCCAGGGTGGGTGCGTGATGCCAAATCCAGCTGCTCTGCAAACCTGAGTTTCGGAGGAGTCGGCGGTGGCTGCGGCCGAGCTCCGAGCGCTCTATTCCTGTAGTGCAGCTCCGGAAGCCTCCGCGGTGTCCTTGGCGCCGTGGCTTAGTTGGTTAAAGCGCCTGTCTAGTAAACAGGAGATCCTGGGTTCGAATCCCAGCGGTGCCTTTATTCAAACCTGCGAGACGATTCCTTGCGTTTTGTCGCTAAACCTATATTCCCTAATGGATTTATCAAGTGTTTTTATACTGGAGCAGCAGGGGTCCCCGTTCCGCCCTCAGAGCGCCCAGGTTTCCAGCAGACACGAGCTGCCAGTCCTTGGAGACCACCGCTGCAAAAGGTCGCCCCCCGCCCAGGCCTACGTCTTTGAGCACCTGCTTCTGGCCTGGGGCGGGGACGGTGGGCTACCCCAAAACCCCGCGGGAGGACGTCCCCGGGCGCCTGAGTCGGTTTGTTTTCTTTGGTTCTTCATTATATTTCTTTGGTTTGGGGCCTCAAAATCGTATATGTATATATAATATGTTTTTAAATTTTTTTTATTAAAAAGAATTTGGAGGGGGTGGTGCAGTTCCTTCACGTATAGTCACCTTCATCGGTCTCTATTAGCTGGCAGTCGGCGTCGGGAGTTAGCAGAGAAACCCGGCGGTCTGGTTTCCTCCGAGAGGGTGCTGAAGGGCTGGGGCCACGAACGTGGACAGGGCGGGAGCAGAAGAGACCTCATTCCCAGTGGGGTCTCCAGAGAGTCGGGTGTGGAAGGGAGCACTGAAGCCGGGCTGGTGAGGGTGCAGGAAACGCTGTGGAGGGAAGCGGCAAGGAGGAGGACCTACAGGCACTTGGCAGGGCCTAAACCTTCCTGGAAGGCAGGCAGAAAGATCTAGATACGATCCTGTGACGGGGCAACCATTCTAAGATGTCTGAACAGAGAAGTGTTGTCTTGAAGGAATTGCTGTCTCGAGATGGCAGGTCAAGATACCCACCATGGAGACCAGGTTTGTGCCATGCCCTGGGCTGCCCGCTCTGCCCGCACAGCCCCTTTTCTCCAAGAGCTCCTGGAAAGGAAGAGGAAATCACAACCCAATGCACAAAGGGCAGGAACAGGGAGCTTGACAACATGGAGAAGGGCTATCTCATGGGGCCTGAGAGTAGAGAGTGGTCAGGGGAGGCTCTCTGGAGGAGGTGAACTAAGTCTGGAAGATCACGTGGAAATTTGCCCTATGTTCTAGTAAACAACTATTACTGTGTCCAGGCTGTTGATCTAGATCCTGGGAATAGAGCAGAGAGCAACAAACACAACGAAATTGTCTTGAAAATTAAATTATATCATATGCTAGATCAATGCTACATAAAAGAATAATAACACAAGGGATCAGAGAGTCTGTGTGTGTGTGTGTGTGTGTAGACAGTGGGTGGTTCTGGAAATGTCAAAGCCTTGCACCAGGGCAGTTGTGGAAGAGATGGAAAGGAGGGATTGAATTCATGGCATATTTAAGATTAAAAACAAAACAAAAACAAAAACAGGAGGACTCAGTAAATGATAGGATGTGAAGTCTGAAAAAGAGGGAGAAATTCAGGACGATGCCTGGGTTCTACTTTAGGGAAGGGCTGGAAGCAAGGGGTGCCACCAACTCAAATTCCCCAAGAATATTTTTTTCACTCTTTCCCACCCAATCTCTTTCAAACAACTGGGACTACCCAAAGTTATACCTTAGAACTCAATCTTGCCGTGTAAAGCTTTGACTCTTGTTGAAATGTAAAATACACCAAACTTAAATAGTGATCAGTTTACACCTTTGTTCTTGGATTCTAAAAGTGGGGCCAGTGGATGGCGCTTCAGGGTATCTCTGAACTCTGACATCTCATGCGTCTCTCTAGGGAAAAGGAGGACAGCTTTCATCCTGTTCTGTGAGGCAGGTAGGGCTCCACCTCTGTGCAGATTAGGTGCCTGAGCCCAGGTAAGAGAGTGGTTGGTAACTAGAGACTTGGGGGGAAAGCTGGGGCCCAAGAGGAGGACAGAAGTTGCAAAAGAGTAAGGAGGAGGGAGACGCCAGAAGACCAGCCCTGAGCCCTTCAGCCCCCTGAAAAGGCTTGGGACACAGACAGGAAAGGATGATGGGCTGCTCTCTACTGTCCTCCCCCACTGTCTGGCCAAGGACACCTGGGAAAGAAAAGGCAACGTGTTGAACCCTTCACTGAAGTCTCCCCACCAAAGCATCTGTGGTTTGGGTATTAGGAAGGACCGGGCTCCACAAATCGCCCGAGTGGGAGGTGGGACAAAATGGTTCAGCCCAGAGATGCTACCGGAAGGTCGAAGGCCGTGGCTGGTCAGACCCTGCTGGGAGAACTCCCCAGGGCAGGCACTGAGCAGCGGGAAGGCAGAACGGGTGGCGGGGCCGCTGACTCCACCAGGTCCTGCCAGGACTCTGGGCAGCCCCAAAGTGAGAGCGTGGTGAGTGTATTAAGAGCTTAGAGGCTCACCGAGCCCGGGAAACTCCGGTGGCCTGGCCTCAGACCACACGCATGCGGGCGTTTGCCTCGGAGCCCCTTACCTTTTGGGGGTCTTAGGCGGCAGGGAGGAGGGTCTCCTTCCCGGCCATCCTAGGAGGTAAGTGGAGAGCGGAGGGTAGACGGGAGGGGAGGGGTAACCTGATCGTACAGGCCGGAGGTCCTGGAACCAGTGCTGGTAGGGGTGTTAAGCATCAGACGGTCCCTGGCCGCCAGACCTGGCACCTCGCCCCAATCACGCAGGTTGGAAAGTCTGCCCCTACTCCGCCCCGCCCCCATTCATCTCAATGACTCCTCCTCCGGGGGTCCTCTTGGCCCCGGGAGTTACTCCCTTGCCTGGGTACTGGACGTGCTCGTCGCTCCAGGAGGATGGACAGGTGCGGGGACAGACAGAGGGGCAGGTGTTCACCCAGGAACCTCAGGACTCATTCATTGTCCCCAACCATGCAACTCCACCGCCTATCTTCAAAGCTCTGCGCCAGAGGACTGGGTCCGAGGACGGCGGGCGCAGGCGGGAGGAGTCGGGACCCCAGGTTATGCAGTGGCCCCGAGACAGTGACCACAGGGAGTGGGAACCCGGGTGCTCGGGGTAGTCCCGGAGGGCTGCGCGCGGGGCGGAGGAGGCCGAGACCACTCCCTCCTACTTCCCCGACGTTATTTCCTGGGAGGAGCCGGAGCTCGCGGGCGGGAGCGGAGGTTCCCAGACCCGGCTCGGGAGTGCGCGGCGTTGGGGCCGGTGGTCCCCGCGCGCGCGCCAGACGGGTTCCGCCGCGGAGCCGTGGCCCTAGGGCCGCAGGAGGCCTAGTTCGACCTCTAAAGGCGTCCGCGAGCGCGCTCTCACGTCGGCTCGTTGGTCTAGGGGTATGATTCTCGCTTCGGGTGCGAGAGGTCCCGGGTTCAAATCCCGGACGAGCCCGGCTTCGGTTTTGGCGGAGACCCGAGCGCCCCAGGCGCCGGTGGAAGGAACGGCGCGGCGCCGCGCGGGCCGCCCTGCGAAGCCCGTGCAGCTGGCCGGGAGCCTGGAGCTGGGGCGCTGGCGGCTCTTTTGTTCCGAGCGCACAGCCCGGTGGCCGGAGGGAGCTCGCGGCGCGCAGCCCGGCCGGGGAGCCGGCCGGGAGAGCGCAGGCGCGTGCGGACGCGGGGCCCGCCCCTCCCGTTCCCGCCCCGCTCCCGAGCGCTCTGCGCCGGGCCCCGCCGGCCGGCTGGAGCGGTGGGGGACTGGGGTGGAACGGGGCGGGACTATCGCAGCCGGGTTTCGCCGCGCCTCCGGGTCGCTCAGCGGCGGTCCAGAGCGTGCGCGGGTCTCCGGGGGGCCCTTTCCCGCGGTCGGCGGGACGGAAGCCCCGGCGAGCGCGGCTGAGATGCCACATCCCCGAGCGGGAGAGCGGTTCTTCCAGCTCCTTCCTCGTTAGTATAGTGGTGAGTATCCCCGCCTGTCACGCGGGAGACCGGGGTTCGATTCCCCGACGGGGAGAAGCGCTGTGCCTTTTGCTTTTTTCTATCATCCTGTGATAAATCCGACTCACAGCGAAGTACCCGGCCCCGGGCGCGGGACGGAGGTTTTCCTTAAAAAGAAGGAAGAAAGGGAAGGGAGAAGGCGAAGGGTGGTAGTTGGTCCTGACTCTCGGGCTCACATTCCGAAGGTTCGAGTTCGGAAGCAGCAAAAATGCACGCAACTTGCATTTAAATGTGCGGCGGGATGAGCCATTTGTCCCCTCCGTTCAACGAATGTGCTGATGAGACGCGTTTGCCGGCGATGACAGGCGCACAGCCGGACAGGACCGCTCGAAGCCGGCGCAGCGCTCTCTCCGCGACGGGACGCGCGCTCGTGGGCTCCGGTGGTCGTGCAGCCCTCGCTCTCGCTGCTGGTCGTGCAGCCCTCGCTCTCGCTGCTGGTCGTGCAGCCCTCGCTCTCGCTGCTGGTCGTGCAGCCCTCGCTCTCGCTGCTGGTCGTGCAGCCCTCGCTCTCGCTGCTGGTCGTGCAGCCCTCGCTCTCGCTGCTGGTCGTGCAGCCCTCGCTCTCGCTGCTGGTCGTGCAGCCCTCGCTCTCGCTGCTGGTCGTGCAGCCCTCGCTCTCGCTGCTGGTCGTGCAGCCCTCGCTCTCGCTGCTGGTCGTGCAGCCCTCGCTCTCGCTGCTGGTCGTGCAGCCCTCGCTCTCGCTGCTGGTCGTGCATCGGCAACGGGGTCCCGGCGGAGGGGCGATCCCGGAGCGAGTGAAAAGTTGATTGGTTTTTTTTTTTAAAAAAGCGAGAACCACTGCGTTGGCCGGGAATCGAACCCGGGTCAACTGCTTGGAAGGCAGCTATGCTCACCACTATACCACCAACGCCGGCTTGGGACGCGGGGTTCCGACGCTGGGACTTCAATACATGCGCAGGCACGTGGCCCGAATGACGCGAGTCCGTGAACGAGGTGACCCCGGTCGCCCCGCGAGAGACTGCGCTTGACCGCGCGCAGCCGGCACAGGAGAAAGCGGGGTTCAGAGGACCGAAGTGAGGGCGCTGAGTCACTGGCAGAGCCGGGGAAGCATCTATTGGTCGGGGTCGGGGGGCGGAGGGATCAGGACTGCGGCGACACCGCGATGGCTTTGTCACCCCCAGAAATAAGTCCCAAGCACACCAGTTGCTCCTCTGTTGAGCGAGCTCCGTGTGTCCCAAGGTTGAAGAGTTGGGCTTTACGCCAAGGGCCCTTAAGCACATTTTGCCCACAGAGGGAGGGTCCATTCCCACCTGTCCGCGCGCAGCTCTGAAAGTGACGCGGGCGGAACCTCGGGGGAGGGGCCTGAGGATTTAGCTCCGCCCCTCGTCGCTGACGGTAGCTCTGTTCACGGGATCCCGGCGGCCGCGGACTCGGGAAGGCCTCGTGGCGCAACGGTAGCGCGTCTGACTCCAGATCAGAAGGTTGCGTGTTCAAATCACGTCGGGGTCACGAAAGGTTGTAATTTTCGATGTCCAGATCTGCGTTGGTATTTTTCGGGCAAAGAGGGAAAAAAAAAATTCGTTTCTTTATATTAGAAAAATACAAACCTCAGTGCCCCTGTCGTTCCGCTTTTCCCAAAGTGTATGAATTTTCTCCTAAAATACAAGTTTAGGAATTTGTTTTTCAAATTTAGGAATTTCTATTGCATCTTTAATGTTTCTGTCAGATCAACCAATAGTGACGCCTTTAATCTCATAGATATTTTAGGTATCCTAGCGCAAATCGTTCACGAGCAGCTCCGAGTTCTTGTTCAGAAAATGTATTTGGAGCAATAAAGATTGTTTATTGGAAAGGGTGGAGCAAGAATTGATCATTATTATACGTAGCAACTGATGAATTAATTAAATACAAATGTTCTCCAGACTTCTCAAATGTCACTAGAAGCCTGGAGCCGCGTGCATTTTTGCTGCTTCCAGCCCAGGAGCTCCGGCCACCTGACTCGGCGGAAGGCATGTGATGGGGACGGCAGGCAGCCCAGCCCCCCATCACAGCCCCACCCTAAGCAGAGCACCTTTTAGGAGATCCAAAATGGTGATTTTTCTTTTTTCTTCTAATTCTGTCTTGCATTCGACATTTATTAGCTGGCATTAATCCATAAAGAAGATCCTTCTCTCATCCACTGGAACCAGGTGATGTGTTAGTCCGGGTGATAGCTAACATGGGGGGCTTGCTGTGTGCCAGGCCCCGTGCTGAGTGCTTTGGCGACCTTATTTCAATTAATCCTGACAGCAGCCCTTAAGGTTGTAGAACTATGCTCATTTTAGAGCTGATACTCAGAAAGATTGAACCGATTGCCAAGTAATACAGATCGCAAGGGGTAGGCTCAGACGTGCACCTGTAACACCCAAGTGCAAGAGCTTTCTGCTGCCTGGTGTTCCCTAGAAGCCCACCTGAGGGGTGACCAGGTAAGCTTGGTGGCCCCGGGGAGAGAAGGATGCTTGCAAAGTGCAGTTTATGGTCTGGAAGAGCCCTGGTATTACGGATGGGATATTTCTAGTCTGTAGACCCAATCCAGTCTACAGACATGTTTGGTGACTAATTATTTGCTGACATTTACAGCTCAGTCAATTTCACATGTAAATCTAGATTTCTAGCTTCTCTAAAAAAAAAATGGAAAGATCTGTCCATACCTGGCCTATACTTTCACACAGTAACAAGCCGCTAAATCTGAGTCTTGCCTCTGTCTTCCAGACATGCACTCCCCCTTTGCCACGCTCCCCATCACTGAAGCTGAGCTCCTTCATACACCAATTTAGGGTCCATCCAGAAAACCTGGTCTTCGGAAAAAGCCTGGATTTTTTGGCAGAAACAGCCAAGATGAAGTTACAAACCCAAATCCCAAAACAGATGAAGAAATTTCATGGTGAGAGCATAATTGGAACAGAGACAGTCATGGGAACATAAAGGAAAAGAAGTCTATGGAATGATCTGACAAAGAATTTTATGTAAGTATGATTATGATACATGAAAAGATAAGTAACAAAATCAAATCATGAGACAAAAAGACAAAAATTCAATAAAAGCATATGGATATGCAATCGACCAATTAGAAATCTTACACATGAATGACAGATGTAAACAAAGAAGTCTGTCTTACATTCTAAACTGGGTACAACAGGAGAGAGAAAGTTCGCTATTTTAAAAAGAGAACTCAGGAATTTACCCAAGACACAGAACAGAGGGACAAGAAATGTTAAAAGCACAGAAAAGAGGGACGCCTGGCTCAGTCACTGGAGCATGTGACTTTTGATCTCGGGTTTGTGAGTTCCAGCCCCACCTTGGGTGTAGAGATCACTTAAAAATAAAATCTTTAAAATAAACAAGGGGCGCCTGGGTGGCTCAGTCGATGAAGCGATGAAGCGATGAAGCGTCTGCCTTTGGCTCAGGTCATGATCCCAGGGTCCTGGGACTGAGTCCCGCATCGGGCTCCCTGCTCATGGGGAGCCTGCTTCTCGCTCCCCCTGCTTGTGCTCTCTCTCTATCAAATAAATAAATAAAATCTTTTAAAAATAATAAAATTAATTAATTAAAGCATGAAAAAGGAAGCTAAATGATGTGGAGGAGAGAATTAGCAGCTCTGATTACCTCCAAGAGGAATTTTTTTTAAAAAGACAATAGAAAATGGTACAGAAACTATACACATAGACTTAATTCTTAAAATTTTACCCTGGAGCTTCACCTGTATGCCTTTTATTTCACTAAAAAAGAAAAAAAAAATCAGAAGCAAATAGGGCCAAGTTTGTTAAGATTTAAATAATTGAATAGTAGTTACACAAGTGCTTTTAAAAATTATCCTTGATATTTGAAATATTTCATCATATTTTTGTGGTAAGATACACTTAACATACAATTTACCATTAACCATTTTAATGTATACAATGCAGGGGTCTGTAGTATATTGACACAGTTGTGCATCAATCGCACGATCTGATTCCAGAACATTTTCATCACTCTGAAAACCCTGTAACCACTGGGCAGCCACTTCCCACTCTCCCCAACCCCAATCCTTGGGGGTATTGGCCAGGCCTCCCTGCCCCCCAACCAGCCCCTTCCAGACCCTCCTCATTTCTGAAAGAGGCTTACTGGCTGATAATGAGAATTCATGTCTTGAAATGTCTTCTTTGGGGGATATCCCATGATCAGAAATTAAAGGGACTAACATCTGTTCCTCCCGAACATTATAATATCCTAACCATCCTGCCCTGCCCTTCAGATCACAATGCAATTCTAACCCTTCCTAGTCTTGGGAAAATTCAGCCGTAGCAAGAACAATGACAATTCCCGCCTCATGATACCTCGAGAGTCACTGGGGTAAACAACAGAGATTTTGTTCATGAACTTCAACAGGCAGCTGATGGTTGCATAGCCAATAGAACAGATAGCTTTTGTTTTGTTTTGTTGTTTATGAATAATGCAAATCCCGATCCTATGCTAGCCCATCAAATATTCTTGAAAGGCCAAATATCTTCTGGCATAATGGGCAAGTGGGAATTTAAAGACTGTGGGGGACAGGGACACTGTATTGGATCTATCAGGGCATATCCCACCCATGCACTGTGTCCCCTGACAGATTCCAGAAAAATCTCCCTTCACTAGGTCATGAGGAATAAAGTACTCGGCAGGTGATAGAATTTTTACAAAGCTTTTCATCAGCTGGTCTCTCCATGCCAAGTACGTTGATGAAGGCGCTGCAGTTGTGATGGGCTCCCTGATCTTGGGAAGCGGAGTTAGGCTGACCCTAAGACACTTTGCCAGTCTCCTTTGCAGTAGTCATGGGACACATTTTTGGCTGATGAGAAATCTATTGGGTACTTCTAGAAAGGTTTCTGCTCATCCTGATAAAGGGGGCAGAGACCGTTTGTGGCCATCTTGCAATCCTAAGGGACATGTCAAGAGAATCACAGCAAGGCCAATCCACATCTCTAACAAAACAGCGGCCTACCTGGTGACTTCTTGCTAAGAGAAAACAGATCCCTATTGTTCATGCCACTGCTGACTGAGTTTTCTGTAACTTGCAGCCAAAGGCATTACGAAGTGATGGAGAAACCCCTAAGGACTTCTTGGATTTACATTTGGCTGAATCATATGAAAATGGTATTTTTGTAGATCAAGTGATTGACTCTCAGCAGTTTCGCATCATTCACTCACACTCTATGGCTAAGAACCCTCTAGATCTGTAGATGTGTGTCAGTTAGTATGCTTTTGACAGCGAATAACTAAACTCTTGAGTCAATGCATTAAGGAAGAGACCTACCGGTCCCTATAAGGAAAGTGCGAAATAGGCGTTGAGAGGCTGAACAACACCATCAAGGTCTTGGGTTCTTCCCAGACCTTCTACAAAGCTAGCCTCGTTCTCAGGCTGCTCCCTTCCGGAGCACCACCAGCAGCAGCAAGGTGGGCTTTGGGGAGAAAAGGAGTTTCTGCCCAGCATTCTGGACAAGAATCCTAAAATTCCCATTCACCATTCATGGGGTCACTTGGGTCACATGCTAATCCCTGAACCATGACCACGATCCCGTAATAAAAAGTGTTGACTGGTGTCGATCAGTCAGCATCCAATCCTGGACCTGAGATGGGATTAGCTTCCCTCTCAGACCCAGAAAATTCTAGGTGCTGCAGAAACAGAAACAGACTACAATGGAAACTGACTACCCAGAACGGGGGACAGTGCAGGTGGTTCCCTAAAGCAACGTTAGGGTGTTGTTTGAAGAAAGAGGAAGGGTGCTAGGCAGGCAATACTTACAAATACCCACTACTTATTCCATAGAAGGCCCCCAGATATATTTATTAACCCAATTATGACATGTGTGTTTGGAAAGAGCAGAGAAGAAGGGAGTGTGGCAGGAAGGAGAAGAGTTAGGGTCAGTCCAAACAATGCAGCCACCGTCGGGAGATCTGCAGAGAAAGGTCCACTGGTGGAAAATTCCTGCTACAGATGTGAGTGCAAGACTTTAAAGAATAAAATAGTAATGACGCAAAAATAAACACACGCAGACAATGGAATAGAATAAAGAGTCCAGAAATATGGAGATCCAAGTATCTACTATGACAATATATCAAGAGTAGTTTTTTTTAATTTAATTTTATTTTATGATGTTATGTTAGTCACCATACATCATTAGCTTTTGATGTAGTGATCCATGATCCATTGTTTTTGTAAAATACCCAGTGCTTCATGCAGTACGTGCCCTCCTTAATACCCATCACCGGGCTAACCCATCCCCCCACCCCCCTCCCCTTGTTTGTTGTTTTTTTTTAAAGACTTTATTTATTTATTTGAGAGAGAGAGAGAGAATGAGCGGGGGAGGGGCAGAGGGAGAGAGAGAATCCCAAGCAGACTCCCCACTGAGTGCAGAGCCCAATGCCAGTCTTGATCCCACTGAAGATCCTGACCCTAGCGGAAGTCAAGAGTCATACGCTCAACTGACTGGGCCACTCAGGTGCCCCAAGAGTAGTTTTCTCCCTCCATTTTTTCCCCCTGCTAATATATTAGAAGAAATAATGCCACACACGTTTCAGCTTACATTTTTCAACAATATAATTGTAATCAACTAACATTTACATCTGTATCAGTTGGCTATTGCTATAATGTTGCATTTTTTTCTTGTGTGTGTGTGGTTTTTTTTAACATTTTGACCCCCTTTCACACATTTCTCCCATCCCAACCCCTACCACCTCTGGCAACCCCTAATCTGTTCTCTGTATCCATGAGCTTTTCTTTGTTGTTTTTAGATTCCACATATAAGAAAAATCATACAGTATTTGTCTTTCTCTGTCTGACTTACTTCACTTAGCATAATACCCTCCTGGTCCATCTATGTTGTCACAAATGACAAGATTCATTCTTTTTCATAGCAGAATAATATAATATTCCAGTATATACACACACACACACATACACACCTCATTTTCTTTATCCTTTCATCCATCTGTAGACACTTGGATGTTTCTATATCCTGGCTATTGTAAATAATGCTGCAGTGAACATGGGGATGCAGATATCTTTTTGAATCTTGCTTTCCTTTCCTTTGGATAAATACTCTGAAGTGAAATTGCTGGATCCTATGGTAGTTCTCTCTTTAAGTTTTTTTTTTTTTTAAAAAGACTTCATTTACTTATTTATTAGAGAGCGAGCGAGAAACAGCATGAGAGGGGAGAGGGTCAGAAGGAGAAACAGGGGGCGCCTGGGTGGCTCAGTTGGTTAAGCAACTGCCTTCAGCTCAGGTCATGATCCCAGGGTCCTGGGATCGAGTCCCGCATCGGGCTGCAGGGAGCCTGCTTCTCCCTCTCCCACTCCCCCTGCTTGTGTTCCCCCTCTCGCTGTGTCTCTCTCTGTCAAATAAATAAATAAAATCTTAAAAAAAAAAAAAAAAAGAAGGAGAAGCAGGCTCCCCCGCTGTATGAGGGCTCCCTTTTCTACCTCCTGACCCAAACTTGTTATTTCTTGTCATTTGGGTGACAACCATTCTAACAGATGTGAGGCTAAATCTCATTCTGGTTTTGATTTGCATTTCCCTGATGATTAATGATGGTAAGCATCTTTCATATACATGTTGGCCATCTGTAGGTCTTCTTTGGGAACTGTCTATTCCAATCTTCAGCCCATTTTTAAATCACATTGTTTGTTTTTTGCCATTAAGTTGTATGAGTTCATTAGATATTTTGGATATTAGCCCCTTATCAGGTATATGATTTGCAAATATTTTCTCCCATTCACTAGGTTGCCTTTTCATTTTGTTGATGGTTTTCTTTGCTGTGTAGAAGCTTTTAGTTTGGGGGTGCCTGGGTGGCTCAGATGGGTCTGTCTTCAGCTCAGGTCATGATCCCAGGATCCTGGGACCGGGCCCCATGCTGAGCCCCAGGTCGACCCCCACCCTCCGCCGTGCTTTTGGCTCAGCGGGGAGCCTACTTCTCCCTCTGCCTCTTCCCCTGCTTATGCTCTCTCTCTCTCTCTCTGTATCTCTCTGCCTCAAATGAATAAATAAAAAAAATTTTTTAAAGTTTTTAGTTTGATGTAGCCCCACTTGTTTATTTTTGGTCTTGCTTTTGCTTTTGGTGTCAGGTTTTTAAAAATATTGTGAAGACCTATGTCAAGGAATCTACAGCCGGTGTTTTCTTCTAGGAGTTTTATGGTTTCAGGTCTTACGTTCAAGTCTTTAATCCATTTTGAGTTAATTTTTGTGTATAGTGTAAGATAGTGGTCCAGATTCATTCTTTTGCAGGTGTGGCTGTCCAATTCTCCTAGCACCATTTTTTGAAGAGACTACCCTCTCCCCCTTGTGTGTTTTTGGCTCCTTTTCCATCAATTGATTGACCATAT